TGAACTCCGAACGCGCACGCACGCACCGCCTCGTTCGTGATGGCCACGAGGGTCACAGTCAGAAGAGTCTGACATGCGTGATGAGCAGTCACGCTTCATGACCGACTAACTCGCTTCGGACTCGTGACTGTCCACGAACTCACTCACTCAGCGTGGCTGTGCAAATCGGGATTCAGCAACATCAGGTGGAGAAGGGCTTCCACAAACCGCATTCAGAAAGCATTCCGAAGAGAGCACACACGCAAGAACAAGATGAACAGCAACTTGGGCGCCTATGGCAACCTCTCGCAGCCGTTGGATGAATCAGCCGCTCCGTAAGTATAGACTTGTGGAATCAAGCGACTTGAAGCGACGCAGCTTTCATATCCTCTGACGTGCGATCTCTCCACGCAGGTCTGCACCTTCAACATCACAAGTCGCTCAAGCTTCAGGTCGGTACTTGAGATGGTGCGACAGGCTATCCGTCCTGCCTGGTGCAAGTCGGTTGGGTACAAAAGAGTGCACGGACGCCTTGCGTATCAAGAGAGCAGACTACTTGCGGCGCAGGAACGATGCCTTCCGAGCGCCGGATGGCAAACTTCCGCCTGAGCTCACCGACGAGGGGGAAGCGGTGCGAAGGAGTGATCGCATCGACGCGAGCGTGAGCAACCCGCTTGGGCTGGAAGAAGACGTGAGTGTCATCTCGAGCGTTTGCGATGAGTCCTGCAGCATGAACACACTTCTACAGGAGGCCTAGCCTGAAGCTGAGCCAGTTCTGCTCCCCTTACGCAGAACCCATGGCGGAGGCATATAGCATCGATGTCCATCATGACTCAAATCCAAGCCGATGTGGAGCGCACCTTTCCAGACGAGGAAATGTTCCAACCCAAAGAGGTTCAGTCTGCCTTGTCTCGCATCCTCTTCACATATTGCTGTCAAAGCGGATCAGGAGCAGAGACGGGATACAGACAAGGAATGCACGAATTGGCTGCTGTTTGCTGGCTAATTAGGAGCACAGACTCGACGGAGCCTCAGCATCAGTCGTCGTCGGAGGGAGATCAAAATCTGCAGAGCTCGCTTACTGCTGATGTGCGGAGCGTGGAATGTGACACTTATGCCATCTTCGAGGGTCTCATGGCAAGAGCGGGGGTGTGGTTCGAGTGGAAGCAGGACAGGGTGAGTGAGAGGAGGATCACCTAGACTTGAGCGAATAAGCACTTAGCGATCTGCTGCCCACGCTGCCATCCCAGCCTTCGACGAGCACAGCTGGGCCCATGATGCCTATCATGCTCGAATGTGTCGCGGTACACCAGACGCTGAATCGATTGGACCCGCAGCTGCACGCTCATTTGCAAAGCCTCGGCATCGAGCCTCAGCTTTACCTGCTCAGGTGGATTCGACTACTCTTCACTCGCGAGGTGAGAAAGAATATTTCAACCCTCGTGTGCGCACCTGCGGTCGCCTCGGCTGATCATGGACGGGTCCCTGCATGCATCACGCTCAGCTGCCCTTGCCCGATGCTATCAATCTTTGGGAAGCGTTACTTAACACAGACCCCACTCTGAAGCTAGCCCGATTCATTTGCATAGCCATGCTGCTCAGGATCCGACGACCTCTGCTCGAATCAAGTTATGCCGAAGCTTTTACTCACTTGCTCCATTTTCCCAAGGCCTGCCTCGCCGCAAGAGGGCAGTGGGCGTCAAATACAACAGATGCGACGGCTGCTTCGGTGCAGAGTAGAGGTCTAGCACCTTCCTTGCTGGTTCAGCAAGCTCTGGCTCTGAGGGACACTGGTGGCCGCGGGGCGGTGCTGTGCGCGAGACAAAACGAGGTGATATTGGGACTCGACGTTCGGACGCCTGATGTTGCTGCTGCGACCGGCCCCGAGCCGTCCCAACCTCGCGCCCGGCAATTACCGAAGACTGTTGCTACAGGACGAGTAACAGGGCACAGACCAGGTCTGAGCAGCGACAGCTTCGCCAGACCATCATCCGGTCAGAGCCCCGAACAGCTCAACGAGGCGGTACCACCAGCTTCCGCAGGACTGATACCTGATGGTATAGCAGACCTAGCACGGGGCCTGTACTCACGTGCTGATGCGCTCGGAGTCAATCGAGCCCTAGTCAGCGCCATGGGGAATGTGCAGCGCACAGTGGGGGCTTATGCGGCTGTGGGCGCCCAACTCGCAGGCCCTGGACGCACCCCTTCAACGCAAGACGATGGGTTTCCTCCTAGCATCGATCGGGTACCGAGGAGCGCTATCTCGGCTGGAATTAGTGCGGCGAGCTCGAGTGCTGGGGCTGTACGCGCCTCTAGAGATCCAACGACGGAGCTGAGCATGCTCCGAGCTAGCAATGCTGCGATGGGACAAGCGCTGAGCGCTTGCATTGAAGTCTTGGAGAGAAATTGGTCGAATGAGACGGATCTCACGACTTCCAGCACAAAGGCCAAAGAACAAGAGTTGACGGGCGCACAAATAGAAGTGCTGATGAGCATCACCGCTCTGAAACATACTCGGGACGTGTTGATGGGCACCGCTGCGGAATTCGACCCCGCCACTGTCGCTTGGCCAGACGTTCCTACGTCTGAAGCGATCAAGCCAAGGCCCAAAGTCGCGAACGCTCCTCTCATTTCACCGCAGGGCGCCATGACCTCGACCAATGTCGCAAACCACAGCCAAGAAGCTCCAACTGAGGCCGTTCCGACTCCAAAGCGCTTACCTCGGGCAGGTTCCATGGGCTCAGTTGCGGTTAGGGACTCGCGCTCAGCTGCTGCCTCATCACCAGTCGAACCTTTCCCACGGACTGCAAATTCAAATGAGCGCTCGACAGATCGCAGTGGCCTACCCAACGCCAGGGCGTTTGCCAGGCCGCAAGACGAAGAGGGCTACAATCCATTGGCTGGATTCAGAGCTGCAGCAGAGAATAGTCGCTTTGGTTCCGCTGCGTTCGAAGAGAAGGAGTCGAGCACGAGCGGACCAAGAGCACTTTCGACCTCCCCATCATCTGCACAGACATCCGCCATGCGTCCTTCGACGCAGACGCAAGCATCTCCTGCTCCTCCGACATCTGGCGACCGACGGCATGAGGTCAAGGCCCTTTCACCGGCTCGGGAGGCTGGTGCGCACAAGAGCGGTCCAGGAGCCGTGAATGAGACTACACAGTCAATTTACCCGCCGCCAGCTTCTTCTCCTCGGTTCAGCACTTCGCCCACCGCACCCACGGCTCAAGATTCAGGAATAGGCAAACGGTCAGACAAGCTGCGCAGATCCAACCCTTTTGCAGCAGCACGCAAGCAACAGGTCGTCTTCAAAGAAGATTCGACGCCTTCTGTCTCCGGAGATCCTTTGGGCGCCTCATAAAAAGGGCTGGAAACCTGCATCTCACCCTTCAGCTCATACACCACACCAATCATTGCTTACCTCTTGTAATACCACACTGCTCTCCCGAGTTTGCTCAGGAAGACTCATAGCAATCGCACACAGTTTCGCAAGGATGAGACGAGGCGGGCATACCGATCATTAGCGGAAGTTTGAGCAGGTAACAGACCAAAGGCGCGATGCGATGGAGATCCACGTCGGCGCGGCATGACATGCCGGAAGCGAATCCACGCGCCAGATCGCTCAACGCTCGCCCGCTGAGACTGCGAGTGCGCAAAGAGATGACGATGCGCCGCACTCGATTGGCCCATGCTTGGCGCTGAATGTTAGCATCTGCAGAAATTTCAGGGGAAGAAAGCGGATGCATCACCGTCTTCGCGATTGACTTGTCCGTGCCGCTTCAAGCATGGCGCTGCCGCCAGGCAGCACCACTGCTGGCCCGCTGCTCTGCGAATGAGCAGAAGCAGGGTTGATGGGTGCCATGCCTCGGGGTCCTCCGTTTGTCCTACTCCTGGGATCAGCACCTTCCAACGACACGATGGGCTGATTGGGGCTAGACCTTCCCGACTGCGCGCTGGTGTAGCTTGAATTGTCGCTACCGCTCGTCGCCGGTCGGGAGCTGGGCTGCCTACTTCCTGGTAAGGATCGACCATCAGCACCAGAGCTGATCTTTCGTACTCGTCCATCCCCAGCATCGAGACTTCGCGCATCGTGTCGGTGCGCCGTGCCATTGTAATCTGAACCAACATCTCTCGGCTCGCTGGCCCGCTGGCGACTCGATTTACTGTCCTCCCAGTCATGCTCCTGGGATCGCCAAGACTGAAGGACAGGGTCGCTGGTTCGATCTGGCTGAGGCGACTTGGAGCGAGGCCTACTCGATAAACTTGAGGGATCGCTTGCACCTGGTCCGCCACCACCTAGCCAGGCTTGCTCGTCTCCGACCGGACTCGGACCTCTTCGACGTGGCTCGCCGCCACTAGCGAGCCATGCCCCCGAGCTTCCTGAGCGTGCATCGGGAGCGAAGGAGCCGCTCGACGGGGATTGCTTTCCTCTCACACGCTCTGGGTTGAGTGTTGGACTGGTCGAGGACCCGCTAGCCATTGATGCTGATACTTGGTGGACTGTAGACGTGCCGCGACCGGATGTAGAGCCGGGCGGTGCAGCTCCAGGTGGCAGGCGTCCCGAGCCTGGGGTGCCCTGCGCAGGAGGGGGCACGTGATAGCCCGAATGAGCTCCTAGCGAGCGCGGATCTACTACTTGTCCCACTGAGATCGAAGGCGCCATGGCTGGAGGTCCTGGGGCCAATTGGCCACTCGAAGGACCTGGTCCTGTCTGTGCAGATCCTCCATTTGCTTGGGCGGAGCCTGTTCTATTTGTTCCCTGTTGCTTCGCCATGTCACTATCGATCTGCCGGTGCTGGGCACCGTAGCCTGCGGCCGGGATTGCCATTTCAGCAGACCTGCTCCCCGGCGGAGCGCGATTGGGCTTGACGAGCCCAGTTCTCTTCGCCTTTGGCGCGGGAGAGGCAGGATTCGGGACCTCCGCAGTGGGCGTGGGCGTGCCGGATTCCGGAACATTCGAGTCGACGAGAGTCGGCTTGCGGCTTGCATGTCCATGGTGCGGCGCTGCTCCTGTGCCATCAGAGTTCTGGATAGGCTGCTGGGGCACCGATGTTGCTGCTGGTGATTGGCCGTCTGTCCCTGTTGGCGACTGTTGCTGCTGGGGCGCTTGCTGTTGCTGCTGCTGCTGTTGTTGCTGTTGCTGCTGCTGCTGCTGTGAGCGGTTGATCACAGATAGATACCAAAACATGAGATTCGAGATCAGAACCTGCTCGTAGAGTGGCCGGCGAGAATTAGCAAGCTTGATATGACTAAGTCGGTAAACTGCTCGTTCGATATGGATAGGATAGCGATAGTAGTGCACGGGAGCTCCAGGACGATTGCGATCCAACAGGCTTCCGGCAGTGATTTGCCCTTCGTTCCGGAAGTGCGCCGGCTGATGTTGATGGTGGTCATCACCGCCTCTCTTCTTGCTTCCAAACAAAGCTCCGAGGAAGCTGGAAGTATCCTTCTCTTTACTAGCCTCCCTCTCGCGCTCTTGCCGCTCCGCCTCCTGAGCCTCGCGCTCCTTTCGCTCCTTCTCCTGCGCCTTCCTGCGTGCTTTGGCTTGCTTTTCGGCTTCATCCTCCTCCTTGCCAATGCCAAACCAAGATGCAAAGCCTCCCTTCTTTTCCTTGCCATGCCGCTGAGCGGTGCTCTCTGCAGATTTGGTGGGTACCGGGAATTGTGACGGTCCAGCAGCATGGCCTCGGCTCGAAGCTGGAGGTACTGAGTGTTGTTGTGACGGCATCACCAGCGGGGGCTGATTTCGGAGCTCAGCTTGATGCTGGCTTGGGTTGTGCACCTGTTCCTTAGCTTGGGGAAGATGATGCAGGCCGCCGGTGCCGGGAGGCGCAGTAGCAGCGTGTAGAGGCGGCTGTATTGGTCGCGCCTTCTCGAATCCAGGCACGGGAGGGACATGGGAGATGGGAATTGGTCGCTTGACGGCATCATTTGAACCGAGCTCATTGTCAGGCGACTGCAATGGCGAATCGTTGATGATGCGTTGGCCGCTCGACAGCGCGTGGGATGCAGGCCCAAGCCTGTCGGAGGTAGCTGTTGAAGCCTCTCGACTGATGTCAAAGTAGCCTGCTGACTGCGAGGACTGGGTTGGGGTGAGGGGCGGAGAGTCGCTACTGCCGACGCTGCGGTTTTGCGCCCTCTTGTCCGCCGAAAGGGTGGTGTCGCCAAGGCCATCTGCAGAATCTGCAACGCTATCCGTGAGGCTAGTGAGGCTGGTCCTTTGGCTGCCATCTGATATGTAAGAGTGGCGCGAGTACGCGTCGACAATCGATGCAGTAGCTTCATCCGAGACTGGGCGCGAAGAGCCGCCAGCTACATCTTCCTCTCCCGACGATAGACCAGACCCAGACTGGTCACTTTCTCGACGTCTCATTGCTTCCAAAGCCACTGAAGCCATGTCCATTCTTCCGCCAGCCGATCCCGATTCCGAGCCCGAGTCTCCGTTTGCGGCGCCTCCGCTGCCTGGACCCCTTCTTCTAGCTTGCCGCGATTCCGAGATGGAGGATTTTCGGATCTTGGTCCTAGCCGCTCTGCGAAGAATCTGGCCTGGCCGTGGAACGATCAGAGGCGCATCCTCGCCATCGGCTGGTACGGCGTCAACCTGGTCGAGAGCTATAGGTTTTGATGCGAGTTGGTGTGAGCTCTCCTCGACGCTCTGATGGGTAATACTGGCTCGGGTCTACAGCTCACCTGCGCCTGGCATGCTTAGACTCATCGTTCTCCGAAGAACACTCCTGAGCTGAGCCGGATCTTCGCTCTTGCTGGCTTCCTCTGCAAGTAGCTCCAGCTTCTGTAAGTCTTCGATGGACAAAGCAGGTCCTGCCTGTCGTGTCGAGCCGGCACGACGTGCCAGTGAGCCGCGAAGCCCTCCTCGCTGCAATCCTCCGACGTCTTCAGGCGTCCGCCTACCATCACTGCCGTCGTCAGTATCGCTTTCTGGGCGATACTGTCGCCGCAGTGTGCTTCCTCTTCGAGCTATAGAAGTATTACGACTGACCAAATCGATCGGGGATCCAGGAGAAGAAGGGCCCCCGAGACCCCCTCCAATTGAGCTCGCACGGGAAGCGAAAGGGTACGACGCCTGTGGAGTCCCGGTGCTCCCTGAACTGAGCCCCGAAGAGGAGCTGCTGGAGCTGCTGGGACTGGAAGGCGATTCTGAAGGAGTGGCCCCTTCGCGAACTGCCCTCGAGGCATGTTCGTGGAGGAACTTGCGAAAATCGGTGGGAGATATCTCGGGGTGCATCGAAGCAGGTACCCAGAATAGGTGACTGGGGTCCATCGGCGCCGTGAGAGGTACGTCGTCATCCGACGTGATGGGGCTTCGAGCTGCTTCTCGCTGACTATTGGACGAAGATGTGTCTATGGACGATGCTCCTGTCCCTCGACGCCGTGCAGTGAATGCCTGCCGCTCATTACTGCGAGTGGAGGGTGTCCTGCCTCCCGCGCTTGAGGAAGGACCGTCATCGGAAAGGCTGACACCTGCTCTGGATGCGTCGGGCCCCAGGATTTCTCGGCCGCCCCCGTATGCAGCGGCCAAGTCTGGCAGATCCGGGTCGAGCAGAGGTCGATTGACCGAGATGCGCCGGTGCGACTTAAGGGCTTCCACCTCGCGCTGAAACTCAGAGTCAGTGATGTTTTGCATGCTGAGTAGGCCAGAAGAAAGCTGATGATGCTCTACGTGGTGGACGCCGGCAGACGACGTTGTAGCCGTGCGTCGCTGTGAGCTCACAAGGACCCCGCGGCCGAAGAATCAGATGAGATCGGAGCGCAACGGCCGTGGAGCTGGACGACGCAGGCCTCGAGATACTCTTGCTCGACCTGCTGACCTTCAATGGAATGCGTCACCAATGAGGATTCACGAAGTGTAGGGGCGGTGTGAGCGATGGGCGGTACGGGGTAGGTTCGTCTACGCTTCGAGTGAGTGTGGTGAGTTCCGATACGTGATTTGAGAATTGGGCTGTCCGACGAGCAAGCTATCGTGAGCAAGAAATGAGCACGCATTGCGCTACTTTCGAGGCGCTCGAGTCTCACAGCCTCCGCGCTTATACATGCACCTCGCCGCTATACCTCGCTCATCAAGCACACCGCACCAGCAGGCTGCACGGTGAACCGCATGCTTCCCGCGCTCCTGAGTCCCTCTGCTGCCATGCCCATGCGCGCGCCATCATCTCGAATATCATGCACCATGCACCCAAGTCAGGTGAATGATCTTGAATTTGCTGTTTAAACAGCAATTCAAATTTGCTGCTGATCGCGCGGGTTGCGCTATAAAAAAACCGCCTGCAGCATCAGAGCGCAGTGCCCACCGCTACCCAGCTGCTGCTGGGGTGCCTCTCTGAGAAATGGCCCGCATGAGGTGCAGTTTCTCTATTCACGTGATTCGTCGTCCGAGAACTTTGAATCTTGAACTTTCAATGAGAGCCTCATGCGACATTGGTGATTCACCATTCAGGATTCAAGGATGGTAAACTTGGATCTCAAGACTCGCAGAGTCTAAGTGTGTTAGTGATTTTGATTCTTGATTCCCGACGTCAGACTTCATTCTCAAAAATTCAACACCGGTCATGATCATCTTGAATTTGAGCATAGCGTGTCGTATCATATTCCCTGCGCGTCTTTTCAAATTTTGATCCTACAGGTTTCGGTATTCACATTGAAAATTCACGATTCGTAATACACCATCACGCACAAGCATGCACACGCACGCTAGCGCACGTCGAGGCGTCGTCTTTCCGGCGTTGCGAAAGGCCTGCTACCACAAAAGGGCGCCTCAGCATCTTGGTCACGCGGTAGTTGCCGTATCGCGGAACCGCGATCCCGACGAAGCGCCCCGCTACTCTTGACTGCCAGATGGATGTCCAGCAGGCGTTGGTGCTCACGACTCGCAATCTACGCTCACCACTGCTGCGCACTTCTCCTGGCTCTCTAGACTCACACTGCTTGCAGTCACCAAATGACCGGCAGTGTGCTCCCTCGTCGAAGCAGACTAGTCTCGTCGCGAGGCGCTCTAGGGGATCCCTGACCAAATCCACATCGATCTGGGAGGGCATCTGCGCGAGCTGCGTTGCTGACAGGCTACACGTGCGATCACCAGTCAGAAGTCCGAACCTTCGTGCCTATTCCAACCTCTCATACACATAGCTTGGTCGTTTGAGGTACGGTCAATAGTCAAGAAACTCATAGAAACTCATGATTTGCGATTGTCAAGCAGGTATCGCTCAAACCTGGAGCATGCGACTGGAAGTATGCCATCCGAGGTACGGTACAGTTGCAGCAGAAACGCGAATACGCTCCCGCCGTGAGCGGCCCGCAACCACGCTCGACGTAACCAATCCGTGCGGACAGACAAGGACAGTACAGGCGGGCGCATCTGCTGGCGAGATGTGTGACTTGCGCTCCGGTGCCGGCACAGAGAATTGCATGGTGTGCCCGCTATCTAGGGGTCCGCTGGCCGTGCCCCAGCCCTGGAAGGGGTGCACTTTCCCCAGTCGACGACTCATATAGCTCCATATACCATGCCAACCCCTCATCAAGGCTTCCTTATGCCAAGGGTTCATGAATCGGGAAACAGGACGTTGTCCGATGATCAATCCGAGCTATCGGTTCTTTGTTACGATTCGTGGCCCAGTCTGCTACTCGGAAAAGCCTCCGAGCTTGGAACTTGTAAAGGCTGTCTGCTCGATCCTTGTGAATCTAACTTGGAAGGTGCCGGAGTGATTCACGCACGCGCAGCTCAGAATTACACCATGACCATCAGCCAGATATCAAGCTCTGCCGTCGTATTTTGAGGAGGGGATTGGGCTGCAGCCATAGCTGTCTGTAGTTTGGCACCATCGTGGGTCAATGATGGTCAAATTAAATGATCGATTACCACAGTGAGGAACGTGCTTGAAATGAAACCTGTTGGGCCACCCTACCGTGACTGTAGGCCAGTGGTGACCACATCTCTCCAGCGTGGATGCCTGCATGCGTCATCACCACCCGCGCTTGTAGTTCAAGAGAGTCAGAAAAGGGCCTCTCTCTTCTCGAATACCCTTCTGGAAAAATTCAAGAGAGCGTCACACACGATTGGGATCGATGCTGACTCGAAGCGGCGAATAGCACAAAAAGCAGTCTACTGCTTCAAAAGCATTGCTCACTGCATGCCTCCCTTCAGCGGCGCCCCTTTTAATCATCACACTTAATGTAGTCTGGCCCGTGTGGCAAGTGAGGATCGTCTCAATTCCCCGCGTCCGAAAAGGTGCCACAATCAAGAATGCGCAGACGTCAAAGCCTCGGCGCTAAACGAAGCGCCAGGCCCCCCTTTTTGGTCACCTGTTGGTCAGTCTCCACTGTGCAAGCTAGACAAAGCCTGCAATGAGCCGATTATTTGTGCGGCTCTGACGTAAAGGAGAGGGGACTTGTGATCAGGAAAGCCACGAACACCAGATTGGCGAACTCATCACTCATGTCTGATGGAAGCCACGCCTCCGCGAATCGACAGAATCGTGAGACGATTCCCCATTCGTGCTTCCCATTGCGTTGCTTCTCTTTCTTTACCGATGATCACGTCCTGTAGTCCGTAGTCCGAAGCACTCGTGAGACGATGATTGGATTCTCAGAGCTGGTTCATCAGGCGACAAAATTGAGTATAGCAATGGGACAAGTGCAGGGTGGCGTGCGGCACTTTCACGGTGGATGAGGCGTGGGTGCGCAGACACGCATGGCGCTCTCTTACGCTTCATTGCGTCCTCGCCGATTTCTCGATTCGTCATTGATTAGTATTAGTCAATCAAGGAGAATATAGACTGGTGCTGTCCTCACCGTCGATGAGCCACTCGCTTGGCGGCTGAACTGGCGAATGAAGTACTCTAGGCCAACTAAGCTCCGCTTCGATCTTGCTGGGGGTGCATTTGGGATGCCTAGGCTGCACTCGGCGACTCACCAATTCTTCTTCCGCGCCCGTTTGCGGTACCTTGCCGGTCAAGTTGATTCTCCTGTCCGTTGCAATATAGACAGGCGAGCTGGGTTGCGTTAAGGTTGGCGAGCTATACACGTAGCATTAGCAGCCATAGACAGTCGGGATGGATGAGCCTGGAGTTTCAGCCAAGACCGGTTCTGCATCAAGGGCCAAGTCAAAAGTCGCGATCGAGTGCATTCACGATTCAGATTGTGCTGCTGAAGGTGTCCGCGCCTGTTGTCTGTGTGCACGGCCGCTGCATGCTGCTGTGCCCATGTCGCTGCTCACTCGTGACTACTTTCCTACAACTCTCCGTGGGATGTGTGACTCACGACTGTGACTGCTGCTACACATACACTACTACTTACTGCTACTACTACTCACAACTACTAGTAGTAGTAGTACTACTGGTGGGAAGGTGGGACCATGCAGCACAGCAGGGATGAGCGCTATTGGTTGCACTGGATCGTGACTTTGTTGACCACGGCTTCAAGCTTCGCGCAGCCATTAGGCCTAAATCGCAATTTTAATTTGTAAGTCGGAAGCTTAAAACCCGCCGTCTGCATGCATGCCGAGAACACTCGACGCGCGATGAGAAGAGACGCACAGCCTGCTCATGCTGCGTGCGTGGGTCCAGCCTTCACATCTTGATCGGCGGGTCCGCTAAGTGTACCGAGTATAGACGCCTCTTACCACACACGACCATATGTACCACTTCTCCCTCCTGAAGGACAGCCACCACGCTGACCCTTTCGACACTAATTTACTTGCTCGCCTTACGATTCATGACGCCAATCACCTCTTCGCCGCCGTCGTGAACGTCGTGCTCTTGGTACCGCTCGCGTTTCGTTACGCGTACCGTGCTGGTACCTCCACGAGAGCGGTGCTTGTCTTGGGAGCACACCTAAACGCAGTAGGCTCGGCCCTCTTCCTCGGGATAAATTCACGCGAACAGGGACCCTGCTCGCGGACCTGCATCGCTTGCCTGAAAGGTTCAATTCGCGACCCATCAAGGCGTCTAGCTCCACCCACCACACGCAGCCGAAAGCTGCATCATCAGCCGATCACCACTGCCCCTCCTCCTGCGATACAGCCCGGGAGCCTCTCTTGTGCCCGCAATGCCGGCAGAGAGGAACGGAGAAAAGTCGTCGCAGGCCAAGACGAAGGAGAATAAACCTCCTCGCAAGCCCACTCAGCCTGCCTGCGACCCTTGCCATGTCAGGCGTGTACGATGCTCTCATGAGCAGCCCTGCGACCACTGCAGACGGCTCGGCTTGAATTGCACGTATCACAAGGCCAGCCAAGCGCGAAGGAGTACGGGGAAAAGGATTGAAGCTCTTCGAGAGTCGGACCGTTCCGAGAAGCAGGGTGTCGAAGGTGGGCCTTCTCAGGATGGACCCAGCTATCCACCTACCCACTCTGCTCGCCAGCTCCAGCAACCTCCCCATCCTCACTACCAGCAGCACGGAGAGACACTACCTTCCCTCGGCGCAATGAGAAGCGCAGCTGCTCCTGGCACGTTCGATGGCGGTAGGACTTCCCGAATCGAGGGAAACATCCATCCTCAATCCGCAGCAACTTCAGGCCCTTTTCCCTTTGATGGTCCACCAGCACGCTTGTCCCGGCCACCAGGGACTGCTTCTCCAGCCTCTGCAAACTCCGTGCTCATGCCTCCACCAGAGTACAAGCCGGGGCTAGAATCGCCCAAGAACTTTGCGCCATATCAAGGGGCCTCGGTGGGCTCGCCAGGAACTTCAAGCTCCTCTTCATCGGCGCAACACTCAGATGCATATTTGCGACATCAGCATCAAAGAGGCCACGGGCACGGCTCTCCTCAGATGGGTCGCGGAAACATGGGCGCAGGCCAAGCAGGATTTTCGCATGGCATATTTCCACCCTTTCTCAGTCCTCGCACCAGCCAGTCTTTGGCTGCCGGAAGTGCGCACCATTTCGAGCGACAGCCTGGACTCCGCCGGCTGTCGAATGCTGGTCAGGGCGCCAATGGAAGGTTCACAAACATCGCACAGCATTCAAACGAAGGAGGCTCTTTTGTTGACCACCTTATGAGTCGGCCGACGCCTATAACACCGAGCTCCAGCGGCACATCTGGCGGATCTTTTATTGCGTCCAACATGCAATCACAGCCGCAACAGCAATTTCCTCAAGCACAGCAGAGTGCTGTGAGTCAAGGTCAGACACTCAACAGCAACAATCTTTTCCAAATGGTCAACCCCTTTGAAAATACCTTTGCTGCGAATTTCCGTCTGCCCGACCTAACCACGTCGCTGGCGGACTCATTCCTGCCGAATGGCACCGGAGCGAGCGGATTCGAGAATGACATCTCGTTGTGGGAGGGCATGGATCTCAACAATTTCCCGCTCATATCTGGTGATGGGTCGGCCACCATGCTGGATGCTATCGGCAGACTCAACCCGATGGGACAGACGCCCGCGTCGCTCGATTCCGGCCACCATCATGGCCCGGCCAGTCAAGCGGGCAGTGGGCCGCACGATGATAGCCCGCCCGGAAGCTCTGCTGGAGACATGCATCAGGCCTTGTCGGATGGTGTCCTTATCCCTACCCTGGCGCTATTCTATGAACGTCTGGGAGGTATCATGCCCGTCTTCTCGAGAGCCTGGCTTTACGGTCGTCTGGACGCGGACCATCATCGTACAGTGAGAGGGGCCTCAGATCGCTGATCTGACGTGCGAGAGCTGACTTCGTCTGTATGCAATTCCTTTGCAGGATCCCCAATTTGGCTCGATGCTGCTTTCGATGAGCGCCTTGGTAGCGATCCAAGCCCAAGATACTACGGATAGGGCGTCCGCCAGAAACAGGCGAAAGAAAGCGGTCGCACTGTTAGAGCAGTCGAGTCAAATGCGAGGCGGTTTGATGTTTGGCAAGGTGAGTGCAACGTCCTGGAATCTGGCGGCCTCTTACTGATCTTCCATCGAGTCGTTCAGGAACCTTCGCTGGAGACTACCTGCACGTCTTTCTTCTTCTTTGCGAGTCTCTTCGCTCTGAACGAGCACAATGCGGCTTGGTTCCGTCTTCGAGAGGCCGTGACCTTGGGCCACCTCGCCAAGCTGCATGAGCCATCCTCCTACGAGGGTCTCCCTCGAGACGAGCAGGAACGTCGCTTGCGCACTTACTGGCTGTTGGCCATCACAGAGCGGTAAGTAGCAACCAGCCTACCTTGCGTATTTTGGCGGCTGAGATCCGTCTCAATTCCTTGCAGAGCATATGCTATTCAGTACAATCACCCTATCACCCTGACGGGCAATCCGAGAAAGAGGACGGCAATTCTACGGCAACAGCTCGGTCTTAAAGAACTCGCAGACTTTCCGGATCTGCAGCTGTCCATTTTCGATGCCGTGTGGGTACTTTCAATGCTCAACTGATCACACAGAGCGTTCATGGTCTCTGACTTCTGCTGCAAATTTGTTTCCATCCTCCCAAGTGATGAAACCTTCGTCGACTGCTGTGAGTCTTTCGAATTGCGTGACTTGCGCCTATATCCGTAGCATCGCTGCTCACGCTGTTCCCCTGGTCTCTCTAAATTACAGTCCTTGGAAAGTGCCTTGGGAAAAATTGCAAGACCTTCACGAGGGAAAAAGCGCTGGAGCTTTACGCAGCTTTCACTCGCGTCGGCGAGGAGAGAGGCTCGTCGACGCGAGGAGATGACGAGCGCGTCAATGGAGAAGGAAGCAGCACGTCCAATGGTGGGGGAAATACGCGCGACAGCTCTGTCGCTGCTGGCGACAATGATCCTTCATTCGGTCGGAGTGCAGTGCAAAAAGCGGACTTCGAAATCACTCGCTTGTGGCTTCAAAATCGAGCTTGGCTCATCGCTCTGAGTCATAGCTTGCTGACCATCCAAGACCGAGAAGAGCCTTTGCGCGTTGATCACGCCCTGCACCTGGCAAGACGTACACTCGATATTTGCAATGGGCTGCCTTTGCCGGCAATGGAAGCGCACGGGATCGGATTCGTGCTCAAGCTTGTAAGTCGCTAGCGCTTCAGCGTGTCAACATCAGCTTTGAGACTGAAGTTTTCGCGCACCGTGCATTCGTAGTACGATATCGCCAGCACCTTGGCAATTCTCTGCAAGGATGAGGGTGTGGCGCAAGCGATTGAGGACTACTCGCTACCTGCGCAGCAAGGCTCTCCACACAGTGTCGTCTCGCCATCCGCAACAAGCGGCGGTCGTTTGGCAACTCGATTGCGCACCGAGATTTTAGAATTGCTCGAAGCGTTTGCGGCGTTCATGCGCGAATTTCTGGGAGGCAAGCACGAGTTCAAGGAGAAGCTGGAGGGACACATTAATGAGTTCCACGCGAGCAACCCTTGGACCATGCTCAATTATCGCACGACCACTCCCGACACGCGTTGGAACACCTGATGATCAGAAAAGGTGCTGTGCTGAGCATCGCAGTGCCCTTGCGTCCCTTAGGTTGGGGACAGCTCACGGTCAGACTTGGATTGGTAGCTTCGTAGCTTGTATGTATCACCACACAGAGGTCCATCACGTCAGTCACGCGCGTCACTCGTCCACCTCACTTGTCCATTGCGTTATTCAACAAGTTATCACGTCGCTCGTCTGTGCTTTTTGTAGTGTGCACTCGTCTTGCGGGGATATGCAAGCGCATTTCGACAGCAAACGCATCAAGTCGTCGATGGGAGCGTTGCATTCTATTGAGCAGAAAGTTACCTCGGAGTCACTTTACGAAGCGGGCAATAAGTGTTAGGACAGAGCACAGCGATGACGTGATTGACGGGGCATACGTGAGGAGCTATGTGGCAGAAGCCTCGAAAAGAGATGTAGGTAAAACGTACACTGGCACACCCGATGAGCTCGCCGAGACGCTGAGCGAACGCCCAAAGGGTACCAAGAACGATCGGCACCAAAGAGGTCCTTTGCAGGGAATTCACCGGGCTCAGAACGCCGGCGGGGTTGGCCCTCTTCAAAAGGCAGATGCCAGCCCTTCCCACACGTCGAGATTTGTGAAGTTGGCTGGTCCGCGCGCAAATGCGCTCAAGAGCACGCAGCTGGGATCGTCGGGATAAATGCGAGTGGCGAGGGCCAATCTGTCGTTGGCAAAGATTTGCAGAACGCTATTGTCGCAGAAGATGCGCAGTCTCAGCTTTTCGGTGGTAATGTCGCCGTTGGTAGAAGAAAAGGTGAAGAGGGTCAAGGGTGAAACGATAGGTGCCGTCTTGATGCCGTGCGAGGCCGAGGTGGAACGCGTACGGTCTACAATCAGACGCTCTTCGGATGGTCGGAAAGCCACAGTAGTGCACTTTGTGCCGTCTATAGAGTCAGACGCGAATCATCCAAGGCAGGTGAAACGTGTCAGAAGGGTACGCGTCTCACACGAAACAAAGAGGACTGTCTCACCTTGGTTATGCGCGACGCTGAGACCGACCTCTTCGGTACCGGAAGCGACTTCAACCTCAGTCGACAACTCCCACGACCGCGATGCGACGTCTAAAAGCCTGAATGCCGTTCCGTTGGCCGAGTCGAATCGAATGACGCCTGACTCGTGTCGCCGTTGCGCGCCTTTGCGAAGACGCTCAACCTCTTGCGCAACGCGAATACCGAGTGTAGAAACCGTGCAGGTTCCTGGAACGGCATTGCTGGGTACCGACTGGATACTGCCAATGGCGCTCAAAGGGGAATGAAGAGCGCCAATGACGTTTGAAAGTTCGAGTTGATGCAGTTCGCGCGGCAACGCCATCAGGCCACTCCATCCTTGCGCATCATAGTACGATTCGGGCAAGTCATCTTCGGTGATCCAGGACCACATCATGCGCCGACCAGTTGGAGCATCGTGGAATGCGCTTGCCGCATAGGCGCAGCCCTCATCGAGCAGGCCAGACGCGTGAGCGACCATCTTTGGCAAGCCGCTGACGCTGTCCTTGACAAATGTTGTTGCCACCCACATTGGGTGTCGGGCGGGTTGCGCCTTCTTGCAACCCTCAACGTTTAGCAACAAGTATTGCGTGACGCGTGATGATCCGTCGGAATGAGGCAAGCGGAAAAACATTCCGACTTCCCAGTTGGCGCCTAGTTCTCCGCACCATGGCATGCCTGGCAGCGACGCATTGACGCAATACTCGCCGAGAGTAGTGATGAACGTCCAAGATGACAAGTCGTCCATCGGAATCTGATAGAGAAAGATCCTTGGACCAACGCTGGGCACTGATCCAGCGATCATGCCGTAGTAATGGGGCTTTTCCGCGGAGAGGAGGCTGTCCATCTCGGGCCAGGGCGAGACGAATGGATCTCGCCATGAAAGGACGTCGATGCCGTCTGGTGGGCCAGGCAAGATGGGCGAGAGAGGCGATCTAGACCACGACTTGCCTTTGTCCAGAGAGGTGGCCATAGCAAGCTTCTCGCAGCCGCGCTGGTACTGGCGTGTGAAATGGATCGGCAAAGCCGAGACGGCCGTGTAAAGCGCTGTCATGATTCCCTGCTCTCCATTTGGACCGTGAGGCACAACGCAGCCGGTGAAGATGCCTTCGCAATCGTACGGCGCTTCTGGCGCGAGTACGGCTTGGTGCTCATTGGCGCCATCGATTGCATTGTCGTGCCTCCAAGGCCCGGCCAGACTAGTGGAGGTCGCATGTCCCCAAGACATGTTGCCCCAAGTCGAGCCTCTCGGGTTCCCTGATGGCGCAAGAGGGCGATTGAAATGCAGCTGTGCTTTCAGTCTGCAGTGGAGCTAGGAGCAGTTCAACATCTCTTCACTGCACGCACATTGATAAAAGAGATGATGCAAGCCGGTTTCAGCGTCATAGGTGGGCCCAGCTGGGTCTGCATGGCAATGCAGGCGACAGGGTCATGGATCAGTGCTGGTGTCTAGACGGCGCGTGCATGCCCGGCCATAGCAAAGGATGAGCAGACTGGTTGAGACTCACCATTCATCCAGCCTCGAGGGGCGAGAAAGTGAGAGGTGGGACGAAACTTTTGAAAAGCTGAGGCGGCACTGGAAATCGGCAACAGCTCAGCCTCGCTGCCCGTAGCGCCAGCGCCAGCGCCAGTCATCTCGTAAGGCGCGTC